CTAGTTTTTCTGTTAACTGTTCATTTTCTTGTTTTTGGTTTTTTATTTCTTCATCGTTTAACTGTTTCGCTTTCGCTAATACTGCTTCCTCAAAATGTTCATGTGAAATGATTTTTACCGGTTCGACGTGCTTGGTTAAATGGTTAATTAAGTTATTAATAATATTATCACGATCTTCTTCGAATACTTGACGAAATCTATCATTCACTTTTGATAAATCAGGTAATGTAACAATGAAAATTTTCGTATCGTTTCGAAACAGTTCACCACAAACTGGATGTTCTTTCATTTCTTGTATATAAGTATCAATCTCTTCTTGACGATACCCATCACAAAATGTAAGTGCAATAGATATATTTTCTGATTTAAAACTAGACTTTTTAAGATAACCAATTAGATTAACAATACTACTGTGTACATCTGCTCGTATACGATCCAATTTAAAACAAATGAAAATATGATTAACTAAATTAAATTCTGAGGAATAAAGCGTTCTTATAGCTTCAAATGTATCTTCATCTTTGTGATTTGGATCATTTAAACCGCGGGTATCACATGCTTTGATAATAAATTTTTGTCCGAAAGCCGAACTATCATGACCATTATTATTATCACCTGTATTTGTGTCTTCTCCTGACTTCGGTGATGTTGTGGTTAGTTCGATCAATGATTGATAAGGCGTAAACAACATTTTAGACGATGAGGCTCCACTCGAGGATGCATCAAAATGTCTATTTAATAACGCTTTTAACATGGACGATTTGCCTATAGATGGAGTGTATACATATAGTGTCAAGATAATGTGAGAAAACGACATTAACTACTAACCTGAACCAGTTAATCCGATGACAAGTAAACGTATTTCCATTACTGGTGTTAGTTTAATGCCTGAACTAGTAATCTTAGTAGCACTGTTTGACGTTAAAACGTTGTTTGACGCTGAAACATCGACATTCTTGCAGAAATAGTTGTCCATAGAGAATATCAAATCGTTTGAGAACTAAAAAAAGAACGCTAAGTTAATGGGTACTTCTAATAGAATGACAGTGTCGTCAAAAACACGTCCTCCTAAGGGAACAAATTCATTCGAATCACTGCAAGTAGCTCTAAGTGAAGCCGGTCAAGAGGAAATGGCGAATTCTTATGACCTTGAAAATGCCATGCGGACCCAAGGAATAGGCATGCATCGAGACCGAAAATCTCGCTTACGATCGGTCTCAGTTTCAGCTGAGACTGTCATACCTTGCTATATATTTTCTTGTCCCAATCTGACCGCTAGTTTGAATAAAACTTAGCCACAAGATAATTGACGATGAAGAATTCAAATCTGACTTCCGTTTCGAATTAAGCTTGACTAAAGTTAATCAAAGACGAACAATTCGAATCAATACCTTCTTTTTGTCAATTTTCGATTTTTAGCCTAACTATAAGAAAATCTCAGCTTTGAGAAGAATGATTTAATTGACTGGTGGATTAGTCATTGCAATTTTAGAACTCAACAAACAAATCAGTAAAGCAGATACTAATGTAATTATCTCACCATACGAGATTCCCTTTCAGTAAAAAAAAATTAAACAAATTGTTAGCTATATGCAAGTGAAATCCGCATGATTTTCCGTCAGAGCTAAAAAGTCAATTATACTAGGAGATAAAGCTTAACGAGCTCTATCTATGATAAAAAATTGAATTTGAATTATCGATATTTTTCTTACTTTAGCAGAGAAAAAAGCAAAAATGTATGGGCACGCCTATTGTCAAATGAAACAGTATTACTCATCTACTTAAGGGGAGCCTTCCCCTTTCCGGCACTTTTTGAGAACTGCTTAACGAAATTTTCTGAGTCTTT